GTCTCTCTCTCTGTCTCTCTCTGTCTCTCTCTGTGTCTCTCTGTGTCTCTCTCTGTCTCTGTCTGTCTCTCTCTGTCTCTCTCTCTCTCTCTCTGTCTCTCTCTCTCTCTCTGTCTTTCTCTCTCCCCTCTCTCTTTGTACAAGGTCTCACTACACAGATGAGACCCACAGTGATCCTCCTGTTTTCAGCCTCCAAAGCACTGGGATTGCAGGCGAGGTGAGCACCACCGTGCCCAGTCTCAGTGCTGTCTCAACACACCCCAGGGTGGGGACGGGGCCTGAAAAACATGCCAGGAATCCAACCCCAGTCCCTGCGCCTGCCTAAGCAGGCACTTTAGTCCGCTGAGCTATCTGGCTGGCCCAAGAATTTTGTTTATGAAACCAGTGTGAAGAAGTAACTAACAGTCTTAACCAGCATAAGTTATAATTCAGTAAAACTCATTGTCCTAAATGTTTCTAATGCATCAAATATAACTCATTTCCTTCTCAGAAGGAACAAAAAGTGGCCCTTCTTTCCTGAGAAATGACTTTAATGTCTTGGTTTCTGGTCTATATATTCCTGCATTTGAGAGTTGGCCCAAGTTCCTTAACTTTTCTCTGAATAAGATAAAATAATATTTATCGGCCTCCTAACACAGGATGTGGTATATTTAAAGTAACAGATAAAGTACCTTGTCAGTCACTACATAAGGGTCAGAAATTTTGGTAGGAAGTGAATTTCTTGTTTTGTGCTTTTGTTATTGCTGCTGTTATTTGGGTTTGGGTTTGGTTTGAGGTTTTTTGGATGTGTTTAGTTTGGTTTGTCTTGCGCTTTGTTTTTGGAGAGACAGAAGAGCTTGCAACATCTTCCCAGAAGCCTCCAAGTGCTGACTCTCCTACTGCAGTCTCTCGAGGCTGGACTACAGCTGTGTATTATTGTACCTCAGAATTGATCGTCCTTTACTTGTAGACTACCGTGTGCAGTGTAACAAAGTGTCCAGACTTCTCTGAAACTGGGCAGTGGAATGTTGTCACAGAGACAGAGGGCAAGCGGGCCAGCGCTGTCTTTGATGCTGTCATGATTTGCACTGGACATTTCCTGAGTCCCCACTTACCTTTGGAGTCCTTCCCAGGTGAGTCATTCCTGCTGGAGACCTTGCCTACCCTCTTGAGTAGTTCTAGAGCAAAATGTACTAATTTGCAATTGGAAACTTCCTCATCATCATACACAACTTCATGTTCACTCTCAGGAATGCCACCTGCAAATTTACATTGACAGGTACAAAGCACTGCATAGGTTCCAGATCTTATTATCTATCTATTTGTATTAATGTTATCACTTAAGCTTTATCTTGCATGTCTAATTCAAGTTCACTGATCAAACAAGGCTCGACACTATCAATCTGTGATAGATAAAAGTAAAACACAGGTTTTGATTTTGGAGACTGAATGGAGAATCAGTGGAATCCAGACTGACCAGTCATTCAAGGACTTGAAGGGAGAATATATGGAAGCTTAACAAAGTTGTAAAAGGAAACAACCCACAAGTTATACGTGGAAAAGGAACACGAAGGAAAAGTCCTTCAAAACAGTCACTACAACAATTATCCATTGCCCTCTTAGATCGTGGCCATCCGCAAGAAAGTGCTTTAGAATTCCCGTCTGCAAATACTTTCACTCCAACAGCACATTCTTTTTAATGTACTCACAACTAGCAGAGCCATTTTTTGAGGTCAAAAATGATTACCTTAGGGGCTGGGGAGATAGCTTAATAGAATAAGTGCCTGCCTGGCAAGCACAGGATTCTGAGTTCAGTCGCATCACCAGCACTGAAAAAAAAAAAAAAAAGATTACTTTAAAACTTGAATTCTGGGCTGGTGAGATGGCTCAGTGGTCTAAAGCACCTTAGAACAAGCTAAGCTAAGCAAAACACAGGGACCACAGTTCAATCCCCCAGCCCCACATGCCAGCCAGCCCCGCCCCCTGGTGGGCTGAACTGGCCACACACACACAAAATAAATAAATACATAAATAAATAAATAAATAAATAAATATTTAAAAAATAAAAAATTAAAAA